AGGACAGGTTGCTGTGGGACATAGCAAGAACCAATTTAAGGTTGTTGGTAGCATTCACAGAGCAGCTGCAAAGGTACAGCACCACTTTTGGGCCCAAGAAACAAGCCCTGGACTGGTGGAACTGCATCATAATGCAGGTTTAGGATGAAAAGCAGTGGCTGCAGAACTTTTGGATGCTCAGGGCACATTCCTGGATCTGTGTGCTGAGCTTGCCCCAGTCCTCCACCCCAGGGACACCAGAATGAGAGCTGCATTGACAGTGGAGAAGCAAGTGCTAATCGCACTGTAGAAACTTGCAAACAGCAGATTGCTACCAGTCAGTGGGAAATCATTTTGGAGTTGGAAAATCCACTGTGGGAACCATTGTCATGCAAGTGTGCAGGGCCATTGATAGTCTCCTGCTATGCAGGACTGAGACTCATGGCAATGTGCAGGACATAATGGATGGATATGCAGCAATGGGGTTCCAGAACTGCAGTGGAGTGAGAGATGGCATGTGTATCCCTATTTTGGCACCAGAGTACTTTGCCACAGAGTACATCTAAACAGAGGGTTTACTTTTCTGTGGTTATGCAAGTGCTGATGGATCACCAGGGATGCTTCACCAACATTAATGTTGGCTGGTCTGGGAAGATGCATGATGCTTGCATCTTTAAGAACGCAGGAGTATTCTTAAAAACAATAAGCAAGGACTGGCAGATTACAGGATTACCACTGGCAAAATTGAAATGCCAGTCGTGATCCTGGGGGACTCAGCCTACCCCTTGATATGCTGGCTCATAAAGCTGTACACCAGCCAGCTCAACAGAACCAAGGAAAGATCCAACTATTGGCTCAGCCCGTGCTGAATGACAGTTGAATGTGCTTTTGGTAGATTGAAAGGACGCTGGCATTGTTTACTCACAAGACTGAATTTCTGTGAGAAAAATATCCCAATGGTTATAGCTGCCTGCTATGTTGTGCATAATATCTGTGAAGCAAAGGTGGAAAAGTTGCCACCAGGGTGGAGGTGGAGTGGCTCAGGCTGTCTGCGGAGTTTGAACACAAGGGCTAGAACAAGAGCTCAAAGCAGAGCTATATGGCTCAGAGAGGCTTTGAAAGAGCACTTTAACAGTAAACCACAGTAACGCGTTGTGCTGTACTGTGCTCTACCTGGCCCTGCTGTTTGGGGGCCTGTTGGAATAGCATGATGCTTGGAGCACATCTATGAATATAACTGACAATGCACCTATTAATTTTGTGGTGCTTGCCTTAGATTTATGATTATTACCATGTGTTTGTCACTGATCCTAGGAGTTGTGTCACAGCATACAATAACTAAGTGGGTGCTTTCAGTACCACTAGGCATGCTTAGCATATGTTGGGAACTGTTAAAGATGAATTATTTTCCATACAATATTGTTTTACTGAGTAATGAAAATACTTCAAAAAATTTTGTTCAAGTTAAAAGCAAATGCATATAAAACCATATAAATATATGGAACAGAAGTTAAAGAATGGGAAGGAACATTCATGTCCATTTTAGCTACACATACATTAACCATGACACTCTCAGCTCACTGCATGTGAAGCTCTGGTTGTTCTTAATGTCCCCTGCTATGGCGCGGTAGGGGTAAGGCTGCGTACCCTGATGCCACATGGAATGTTGAGGGAGAGTATAGGGTACTATACTGGAGCTCTTCATGGATTGCAAAGTGAGGCGACACCAGGAATGTTGAATCTATAGGTCCTCAAGCGTCTGCAGCATCTGTTTGCTGCCGGAGAAGCCCATTATGTCCTGGTGCATCTTCCTCTCCTACTCCTGGGCCTTCCTCCTGCCTGCTCTTTCCTTCTCTATAAAGTCTGCAATACTCACCCTCCAGGCCCTCAGCACTCAAGACTGACACAGCACTGGCTTGCAGGATCTCACTGAACATGTCATCCTGAGTCCTCTTCTCTCTCCTCCATGCCTGGATTAGGCATTCTGCGGGTGTGGAAGGGGAACCCCTTCATGCCACAACAGCGGGAGGTACAGATAAAACACATAGATAACATTTTAAGTATAATCACAATGGAAAGCAAAAGTTAAGATTCTGCTTTGGAGTGTGTGTGTGTGTGTGTGTGTGTGTGTGTGTGTAAGGCACTATTCATAGCTCCAGCCATAGTGAGTATGACACGCCAGGGGTGAGGGAAATGAGAAGGGAATTGCTTGGTTGCATGAAATTATGAGTATAGGGCAATAGCACTGACTGGCACCATTTTCACAGGCTGTGGTGATTTTAGCTGATCTCTCACTCCTGAGAGTAATAAAGACACAGAGAGTGCTGCTGCTGGCATCCAGAAGCCACCTGGGCCTGTATGCCACTAGACTGTTTACTGCCATGGAGCCTGCTGACGTTACTGCAGAGGGGCATGGGAAAGCATCCCATGATTATGGGGTGCCATTCCAGAAACCTTTGGAAGAGGATTGCAGAATACCTCCATGGAAGTTTCATCAAGATCACCCAGGAGGATTCAAGGAACATCCCTGTGTACATAAACAAAGTGTTCCGCATGTCCCTGGCTCCGCGCCTAACTTCAAGGGAATGAAAAGCAGATGGCTCCACCACTGTTCGTTGTCCCACTATCTATTCCTGTACAAGTAAATTAATTAAAAGTCAATAGCTATGTCTTGCTAAGTTGGGAATATCATCACTGTAATGGGAAAAAACAGCTACCCATCTTTTGTACCTGTTGTTCTTCGAGATGTGTTGCTCATGTCCATTCCATTCTAGCTGTGTGTGCACAGATGTGTGCAGTCATTGGAGATTTTTGCCATAGCGGTATCTGTAGGGCCGGCCGTGGCGCCCACTTGAGTGCCGCGCCCATGCATCAGTATATCAGGCGCCACTGGCCCTACACCCTCTCGGTTCCTTCTTGCCAACAACTCCGACAGAGGGCTAGGAGGGCAGGTAATAGAATGGACATGAGCAACACATCTTGAAGAACAACAATTACAAAAGGTGGGTAACCATTTTTTCTTCTTCGAGTGCTTGCTTACGTCGATTCCATTCTAGGTGACTCACAAGCAGTATCAACGGAGGTGGGCTCGGAATTCACAGTCTTGCAGCACAACTCTGCCAAAGCCAGCATCGTCTCAAGCCTGCTGCTGGGTCAGCACGTAATGCGATGACCAAATAGCGACCCCACAGATTTCTTGGATCGACACCTGTGCCCTTTTTGAGTATGCCATCATGATTGCCAGCAGGGGCACCTTTGCCAGATCATAGTAGTAACAGATGCAGGCCGTAATCCATGATGAGATTCTCTGTGTAGACACTGGACAACCTTTCATCCTGTCTGCCACCGCAACAAACAACTGCGCTGACTTACGGAACGGCTTCGTTCTATCTATGTAAAATGCCAAAGCTCTCTTGATGTCTAGGGTGTGAAGCCTGTGTTCCTCATCAGACACATGGGGCTTCCAATAGATGTATATGTCCTAGCCAGTATGAAACTGAGAAACAACCTTGGGCAGAAATGCTGGATAAGGTCGCAGCTGGACCTTGTCCTTGTAGAAGACCATATAGGGCAGCTCCAAGGTGAGCGCCATGATCTCAGACACCCTGTGAGCTGATGTTATGGCGACCAGGAACAAAACCTTCCAGGAGAGAAGCAGGAGGGAACAGGAAGCCTGGATGGCACAAGATTCAGGTCCCGGTGGGGGACCGGGTCCCGGATGTGTGGTTAGAGGCACTCCAGACCCTTCAAAAACTGCATCATCACAGGATGGGTGAAGAGACCTGCCTTGGAACAGAGGATCCAAAGCTGAAATGGCAGCCAGGTGGACTTTGATCGAAGAGAGGGACAAGCCTCGGAGTTTGAGGTGCAGCAGATAATCCAATATGTCCTGCAGTGAGGCCTGCTCAGCCCCAAGACATCGCTCCGAGGCCCAGCACTCAAACCGTTTCCATGTAGGCAGGTAGGTTGCCATGGTGGAGGGTTTCCTGCTACCCACCAAGATTTGCTGGACACTGCTCGATCACGCCCGCTCATCCGTGCTTAGCCATGCAGTAGCCAAGCCGTCAAATGCAACACTGCCAAGTTCAGGTGCAGCAGATTGCCGTGGTTCTGGGACAGCAGATCCGGCTGAAGAGGCAGAGGAAGAGGGGTGGCTGCCAAAAGGCTCAGCAACATGTTGAACTAGTGCTGACAGGGCCACGCAGGGGCTACCAGGATAACTGTTGCCCTATCCTGCTTGACTTTCACGAGGACCCTGTGAATTAATGGCATTGGCGGGAAGACATACATCAGTGTTCCCGACCATGGAATGAAGAAAGCATCCCAAAGGGAACCTCTGTCCAAACACCGAATGAAACAGAACACGACACTTCCTGTTCTGGACTCGAACAGGTCCACCTGGGGAGTCCCCCACCTCTGGAAGATTATGTTGACCACCTCTGGATGGAGCGACCATTCATGGCGAGACGAGAAGGTCCCACTGAGGCAATCTGCCAAGATGTTCATGGTGCCTGACAGGTGGGTGGCGACCAGATGAATGGCATGCTGCATACAAAAGTCCCAAAGGCTGAGTGCCTCTTGACAAAGGGCTGAGGATCTGGCACCGCCCTGCCTGTTGATGTAATACATCAGGTGGGGCAAGAAAGCCTGGCAAGCTAAGCAAACCACCCTGAGTTCCCTGACATTTATATAGAGGGCGAGATCGTCCCGCAGCCAATGGCCCTGGTCCAACCCATGTCTGTTGGGGATACAGACTTAGGCCAGCCGTGCTTGCAGAAGTTGTAAATGGAGCCGAGCATGGGTGACCATGTATGTGCACGTGGCCATGTGGCCCATCAGACGTAGGCAGGTGTGGGCCATAGTGAGCGGGTAGCTCTTTAAGTGGGAGATCAAGCCCAACATGGCCTGAAAACGTGCCTCCAGGAGAAAGGGCCTGGTTCGCATGGAGTTGAGGACCGCCCCGATGAATTCTATGTGCTAGACTAGCGTTAATGGGGACTTTTTTTTATATTTATTAACAGGCCCAGATTGTGGCAGGTGGAATTAACCAGATCAAGGCTCCTCTTCACATGCTCCTGAGACCTGCCCTTGATGAGCCCATCGTCAAGATATGGGAAAATTTGGACCCCTCGACGTCTTAGGTAAGCTGCCACTGGTGCCATGCATTTTGTGAACACCCTTGGGGATGAAGTCAGGCCAAAAGGCAGCACGGTGAACTGGAACTGGCACCTGCCCACTATGAAGCGAAGGACACGCCTGTGACCCGCTAATATAGAAATGTGGAAATAAATGTCCCGTAAGTTGAGAGTGGTATACCAGTCTCCTGGATCCAGGGAGGGGATGATGGAGGCCAGTGAAACCATGCCAAACTTCAACTTCTTGAGGTGATGCAGGTCCAGGATGGGTCTGAAGCCTCCTTTCACTTTCGGGATTAGGAAGTACTGGGAGTAGAACCTCTTTCCTTTCATGTCCCGAGGGACCTCCTCTACCGCCCCCAGGCACAGAAAATTCTCGACCTCCTGAACGAGGAGTTGCTCATGAGAAGGGTCCCTGAAGAGGGATGGAGAAAGTGTGGGGGCGGGAGGAAGGGGCACTGAAAATTGCAGGGTATAGCCTGGAGATACTATGTCCAGTACCCAGGGGTCCAAGGTAACCCACAAACAGGCCAGACGGCAGGGGTGGAGGCGGTTGAGGAAAAGGAATGGTAGATCTGGGGAATTGGCTGGGGTGGTGCTCTTGAGCACGCTCTCAAAACTAGTGCTTCTGGCCTCCGGACCGTTTCGCTGGGCTGGGCTGCGTGGGTGGTGGAAGAGCAGCGATGGCTGAACCCAGTGTCTCTATCCCTTCTTCTAGCAGACCCCGGACGAGGCTGCCATGGCCTTGGCAGCGGAGGCGGACAGAACTGCTTACGCGCCGACTGCGGTGTGTGCACGCCCAGCAAGCAAAGGGTGGCTCTGCTGTCCTTCAGCCCATGCAGTCTCGCATCTATTTGGTCAGAGAACAGACCATTCCCATCAAATGGGAGGTCTTGGATGGAGGTCAGCATCTCCTGGGAGAGTCGGATGGTTTGAAGCCAGGAACTGCGCCTCATCACCACAGCGGACGCTACCACACTGGCTGCCGAGTTTGCCACATCCCACAACATTTGCAGGGAGCACTCGGCTGCCATACTGCCTTCCTGCACCAGAGTATCAAACTCTTGGGCCAAGTCCTGCAGGAGGGACTCCTTAAACTTATGGAGGGAGTCCCATAAATTAAAGATGTAATGGCCCAAGAGGGCCTAATGATTTACGACCCAAAACTGTAAACTGGTGGTAGAATAAATTTTCCTCCCAAACAAGTACAGTTGTTTGGTCTCTTTATTTTTTGGGGTTGAGCTGGACCAACCCTGCTTTTCTTTCTCACTGGCCACTGAGACCACCAGTGAGCCGAGGGGAGGGTGGGTATACAGATATTCAGAACTTTTGGCCAGCACAATGTATTTCTTTTCGGCCCATTTTGAGGTGGGAGGGATGGAGGAAGGGCTTTGCCAGATGGACTTAGCAATTCTGAAGGCCTCGTTGTGACGTTGCACCCCATAATGCTTTATGGAAATATGCTTATGAATGTAAATATGACAACTGAAATATGTTTTATGATACATATGCCATGTAACATATCTCTGCAAAGGTTATGATTTACTGAATATACTCATCCTATTCATATGCATGTAGCATTTTTGTATTTGAAGTTATGAATATTGGCTGTGTACTTGTCTCAGTTTAAGTAGCCTTAGTAAAGCATTTGGTCAGCTTCTTGAGAAAGGAATGTGCAAATTAAGTGCCCAACCAAGAAACACTTAACTGACAGTAGATCTTGGAAGACTTCCAATCCACATAAGTAGTCTTCCTGGAGACATTCAAGATAGCATGTGGGCAATGGCTAATGCCTGTAAAAACGGAGTCATGCATGGACATGTGACTTGCCCGTGTGACTCCAAAACTCCATCTTGGAGCTGGATTCTGTATAAGAGAGAGGAGGGGGTCTCCACCCACAAGAGAAAGTCTATTTAAGCCCCTGGGAGACCCCTCTATTTTGTCTTCAGCTGGCTCAAGAGATAGCCTCTCCACCCCCAAGGATACCTGAAAGAAAGGATAGTAACCACGGGGGTGTGAGTGATTGCTGGACCCAGACTAGGACGAGCCTAGTCTGTAAAAGAAGCTTACTGGAACATCTCTGAGGGTGAGATTTCATCTATATTCAGTTTCTTACTGAATTAGGTTTAGACTTGTGTGTTGTGTTTTATTTTGTTTGGTAATTTACTTTGTTCTGTCTGTTATTAGTTGGAACCACTTAAATCCTACTTTTTGTATTTAATAAAATCACTTTTTACTTATTAATTAACCCAGAGTATGCATTAATACCTGGGGGGGGAGGGGAAGAGGTGTGCATATCTCTCCTTCAGTGTTATAGAGGGTGAACAATTTATAAGTTTACCCTGTATTTGGACCCGATTGGGAACTGGGCATCTGGGTGTTGGAGACAGGAACACTTCTTAAGCTGTTTTCAGTTAAGCCTGCAGCCTTTGGGGGACGTAGTTCAGACCTGGGTCTGGGTTTATAGAAGGCTAGCGTGACCGGCTCAAAAGAGGCAAGGTTCCCAAGCTGGCAGGGAAAACGGGTTAGAAGTAACCTCAGCACATTAGTTGGCAGTCCCAAGGGGGTTTCTGTGATCCAACTGTCACATCCGTCATGCACCAGTAGTACAAGGTGGGTCAGGGTAGAGGCCGAAAGGATGTTGAATAGGGTGTCCATCAGCTCAGCCATCTCCTCCACCTCCAGGCCCAAGTTCTCTGCCACTCAACAAAGCAAGGCCTGGTGATCCTTAAAGTCATCTGGCGGACTCACCTAGAGGGGCCTACGACTGCCTCATCCAGGGACGAAGATGAAGACCGTACCATAGGTGGTGGGCTCTGGTCCTCCTCCTCCACTGGGCAGGGTGGCTTAGAAGTGGTCACAACTTCCTGAGCCTCGGTCTCTGGGCGTGCTTCCCGCACCAAGCCCAGTGCTGTCGATGCCGGCAGCTGCTGCTCTGAGATGGTAGCTGACGAGTGAAGTGGTGGCTGCATAGCCATGACTGGAACTTCCCATGCGTTCCAGCCAGGCCACTGCACCAGCGCTACAGTCTTGGTCGCCCAGTCACCTCCATTGGGTTCTAGCTGAGGGGCTAAACCTTCCCTCAGTACCGGAGGAACCGCCCTCCAGAGACCACGAAGGTGCTGTGGATGCCTGGATCTGCTTAGAGATCACGGATAAAGGTGTCTGGTGCACAGTACAAGAGAACTGCTACCAGTGGCATGGAGACTGGTGTCAATACCAGGGGGACCAGGGGCAGGACGAAGAACGCTCCCATCATGTAAGCAACCTGGATCAGAGACGAGACGGTGACTGGCGGGGAGGTGAGCAGTAGTAAGGGGATCTACATCTCCCTCTTGATGATCCATGTCGAGACGACGGGGACCGCGATCGCAGTGCCAGAGACCGATGGCGAGCCCCAGATGATCTCAGCAGTGGCTCAGTGACTGGCAGTGCAGAAGTGGAGAGCATGTCATTGTCTCAGGGATCGGCGGCGCTCCACTGCTACATAAGGAGTCTTATCGGTTGGCTTTCCCTCTTGAGGAGTCTTTGCTGAAGCCTGCAGCCCTTGCTGCATCGGCGGTGTAGGCAGAGGACTTTGCTCCTTCGATGCCAGGGAAGCACGTGAAGACATTTGTGCTGGCAGGGGAGCTAGTCTGATACTGCTTCCCAAGAGTCAGAGAACCTTTCACAGGGCTAATGTCCCCAGTGGGAAAAGGCTGACTGTGTGGGACTCCGGGGTAGATGGCTGTCCCGAGGCGGGTGTTTTGCCCACTGCCACATGACTCTTTCTTTCCCACTGCCAGGGAGCCTTGCTGCTTGGCCTTCTTCGGCACCGGCACCAGGAAACGGTGCCAAATGGGATTTGGTGTCGGGTGCACATCGTACTGATGCCGAAATGGGGGTCACTACACAGGTGTAGGCCTGTTACAGTCTGCGCAGGGCTTGAAGCCTGGAGACCAGGGCATGTCCTGCGAGGGGCACAATCCCCGCTGGGACTCTAACTATTAACAACTAAACAAACACTAACTACTAAAGAATCAACTATATACAAGACCTTAAGACACGAAGTCCAAAGGAGAAAAAACTGCTAGCCCTTGCTAAGCAAGGAAAGGCGTTCTGACTAACCACCACGGACAGTAAGGAGGAACTGAGAGGGCATAGGGTCAGCGGTGTCTGATATACCAGCACATGGGCATGGCACTCAAGGGGGCACCACGGCCAGCCCTACGGATACCACTAAGGCAAAAAATCTCCGATGACCGCGCACATGGGCAGGCACACACTTAGAATGGAATTGTCATAAGCAAGCACTCGAAGAAGAAATAAATTTTCACATTTACCCAAGGTTCCTTTCATTGCATTGGGCTCACCTGTGCTCTACTGCCGGGACTGATGTGGAATCTCAAACAGGTCCTGGGTCATAGGACCCTCTATCTGAATGTCTCCCATCCTTCTCTTCTTCCTCCTCCATCTTCTCCTCACTGTTCATGGCAGAGATCTGTCTCAGGCTCCTCAGAGGCATCTATGGTGATGTGCAGGGTATTGGTGGGGTCTCTGCCAAGTATGGCATGCAGTTCTGTGGAAAAGCAGCAGGCCTGCAGCTTGGCACCGGTTCAACTACTGGCCTCCCTAGCCTTCTGATATGCCTTATACTGTTCCTTCATTCACACAGCACTGCTGTTGGTCCCTGTCATACCCTTTCTTCTGCATCCCCTAAGTAATCTGCTCATAGATATCCACATTTATGTGACTGGTCTGGAGCTGTGCCTGCACAGCCTCTTCTCCCCACAGACCCAGGAGATCCAATATCTCCTGTCTACTCCAGGCCAGAGAGCATCTGGAGCATGTAACTAGCATGATCAGCCAAGCAGAGTTCCGCCCCCTGCGCCTCCAATGGCCATGATCCCTGGGCAGCGGAGTTCACAATTGTGACCAGAGTGGTCAGCATTGGGCATTGTGGGACAGCTGCTGGAGGACTGTTAGGGTCAACATAGCTAATGCAATGTCTACATTTGCACTCTGCCAACCTCAATACATTGACCCTGACTCAACACCACTCAGAGAGGTAGTGTTACTACGTTGGCATAATGGAGAGCTTACATCGGTGGGAGACAAATTTAAGTGTAGACACAAGGTCGACGCAAGCTGGCTTATGTTGACCTAACTTTTTAGCATAGACCAGACCTTATTGTGTGTGTTAATCTTAACACAAAGCATGAAGTTAAAACAAGCCAAGTTTGGGGAGACTGGATTGCTTTAAAAGTAGATTTCTAAAGCCTTTAATGAGTGTTTCACCTATACATTGCTTGTTTAAATGCAAACCAGGCTGTTAACGACCAAAAAGCTCCCAGCCTCTTAAGTCTGTTCAGTAGCTAGTATGTCAAAGGAACTGATTTCCTATGGCAGAAAAAGCCACCATCGAAACTGGGACTTGTTGGCAGCCTCAGTACCAAGATTTAACTGGATGTGGGGACTGAACTATCTTTTCACCACCTGCATGTGGTCCCTCTGGGGCACATGTAAGGCACATTATTGAGGTAGCTTATATGTTTTTTGAACATACTATACACGTATGAGAATCAGAGAAATTCAGTATTCAGAAGCTTCTTTCAATATAGTGAGAAGATACCTTTTTGCAACCTGCTGTGGGGAAAAAACAACAAACACCCACATTCCATATACCGGTTAAGGTCCAAACTAACCTTTTTTCTGGAGTTTGGCATTATTAACAGAGAAAACACTAACATAACAAAACGATTAACTCAAACTTTCTCCCCTGGCCTGGCTGCTCCTATATTTACTCCCTCAGGATTGTTCAGCCTTCACCCTAGATCCCTTCTCCTCCAAGGAGTGGCTAATTTTTGAGTAGGCAGCTCTTCCTACACAGTTCTTGCCAGGCTGGATTATACCCACAGCAGGGTTATTTCTATTCATGTCTAAACTTTCTGTTGAAGCTTCTGCACCCTAAATGACAAGACTTAGTTTTCAGGGAGAATAACTCGTAACAGATTGATTTTGTTGCTGGAGCAGCAGTTTACGCTGTGGGAGCAGCACTGAATGGCATGAGTAGAGCAGTTTCCACACCCACATACTCATCTCTCACTCTCATATTCTGATGGGATAACAAGTCACAATCCTCAGTGAGTAAACAGAAACCACTTAATTCTGTTGCAATACAGAACTAGTAGAGCACATCAAAAAATTTGCTTCGAATGTTATTTGTAAAAAAAAAAAAAGCAACAATCTTTTTAAAATGCAACTTTCAAAATTATCAAAATCTTCTGTTTGTCACAAAACATCCTTGATTTTTTTTTATTACAGAAGCTACTGAATTTTTAAAAAATTGTTTTTGAAATTTTACATTTACCAAAACTCATGTTTTCTTACTAAAAGCCAGATTTTTGTTAAATGTCATTTTTCAAATCTTCTACTTTGGTAAATTTCAGTACGAACAAATTGTGGAAGTTTTCACAAAAAAACTGAAATAGGTTGGTTTTGAACCCTGCACAAGGGAAACAATTTCAAATTTTTTCACAAAAGTTTCTGCTTTTCAACCAGTAATGATTATTGTCGTCATTACTATTACTTATTTGGTAAGTAGAAGCATGTGAAGTCCCTGCCACAGAGAATTTGCAATTTTTAGACAATGGACAAAAGAATAAGATGCACTGGGAGATCCAGAAGAAAGTTACTTTAAGATTAAAAATGCTCCTATTCCTCTCATCTTAATTTTAAATAAGAACATAAGAATGGCCATACTGGGTCAGACCAATGATCCACCTAGCCCAGTATTCTGTCTTCTGACAGTGGCCAATACCAGATGCTTCAAAGGGAATGAACAGAACAGGGCAATCATCAAGTGATCCATCCCCTGTCATCCACTCCCAGCATCTGGCAGTTAGATGCTTAGGGACACCCAGAGCGTGGGGTTGCATCCCTGACCATCTTGGGTAATAGCCAATGATGGACCTATCCTTCATGAACTTATCTAATTCTTTTTTGAATCCAGTTCATAGTTTTGGCCTTCACAACATCCCCTGGCAATGAGTTCCACAGATTGGCTGTACATTGTGTGAAGAAATACTTACTTTTGTTTTAAACCTGCTGCCTTGTGTTTGTGAAGGGGTAAATAACACTTCCTTATTCACTTTCTCCACACCATTCAGAATTTTTAAGGCCTCTGTCATATTCCCCTCTGTCATCTCT